AGTCATTTAGCAGATGCTCTTATCCAGAGCGACTTACAGTTAGTGCATACATTTTTCATACATATCTTGACAATATCTAGAGTGTCATAACATAAAATGACATAACTTGATAGAATGACAACATAACGTGACATAAGGGTCAGACTATGGTTATGGTTGTGGTGTGTTCCTTCCGTACGACACTGGAAGCGGAGGACTGACCATCAGGGACCAGAGCCGGAGAGTCAGGGAACAGGGGGCAGGGGTCAGGGGGTCTGGTGGTACTAGCAGGACATCCGTTATCCATGTCACATTTCAACTCCATGGTCAATTGTTATGAAGCTTTTCAAGTTTGATGGTTGATTTGGTGTTATTTATCAGCAGTTATAGCAAACATTCTGGATTACATTTTCTAGATTGTTAGAGCCACAGTTGATCTTATACAGGTCATAAGACTTGAGGTTGAGACTGACATGCTGCTGACCTGTGAGGAGTAGGGTCCAGGCATGTGGTTGTAGCTGTATCCATAGCCAGGAGGACCAGGGGAGACCAGCTGGTTGGGGGAAAGGAGGCTGTGGTTGGGCGGCAGGTTCATAGAGGGCAGGTAGGACTGAGAGGCTGTGGTACATGAAGAATGAGATTACTGGCAATATTATACAACACATACCCTTTTACAGTCATGAATGTACATTAACTAACAGTAGGCATATGTTGTGCGGAATTATCAAGATTGTTCATGTTAGCCTACACATCAAAAGGTCAACAACACAGCACTAAGACATGATCTGCCTGCCTCTTCCCTTTTCCCATTGAGTAGCTCTGCTCTGAGTTTCCCTTAGAGGAGTAGGTCTCTGGGCTGGAGTCTGGGTGGCCAGGAGGCACCTGGGCTACAGTGGTTCATCACCACCATCTGCCGTCGGACATGTTGCATGTTGCACACAACCTGTATACAGAGTTACAGTATACTTCTACACACTCACAGAACTATGTTAATCTGTGGTGAAGGCCTTGTGCAATTGGATGTGTGCTGTAGTGCTAAAAGGGAATACATGTGTTATACAATAATATGCAGGTATAAAAGTTAACAATGACAATGACAGAAATGTTGTGTAATAATGATGGAAACTTTTAGATTTAAAGTGACAGTGGTGTTCTCCCCAAACTGGTGGTCTAGGTGCTGCAGATACACAGTGAGCGGCCCATTGGCCTACAGTCCAGAAACACAGAGATTATATAATCAGATGCCTGGCATTTAACAGCTAAAGTTGCATATCACTGAGAATCCACACAGTCACAGTGTTGTGTCATGGTTGTAGTGAAAGGACCTACTTATTATCGCAAACTAATATACCATTTGACTCTTGTAAGGTCATTGAAATCATGTTTAAAATACTGCTCCATTGTCATCTTTAGACTCAGAGAGCCCTACTTAATCATACAAAATAAAATAATAATAACCATTCAATCAGATTTCCAAGGCCAGATAAGATCATATTATTTTCCTTGCTATGTAAGACTGCATATTTGAATTGTCATGCTGACATTTTTGTTTTTCCCACTGTTGACACTTTGTCATTGATCACGTGAATCCAAACGTGTGTTCTCTGATAGAAGTTGTATAGGGTCCTGCATTAAACAGTTAAACAGTATTATGCAACCATTTATCTGTGTCATTGCTAGCATGTACAGTATGTAGGCTACATGCACACTTGTAGTGGCGGCAGGTAGCCTAGCGGTTCAGAGCGTTGAGCCAGTAACCAAAAGGTCGCTGGTTCGAATCCCTGAGCCGACTAGAAAAATCAGCCGATGTGCCCTTGAGCAAGGCACTTATTGCTCCTCTAAGTCGCTCTGGATAAGAGTGTCTGCTAAATGACGTAAATGTACACATCCAACAGCAATTTTGAAATGCTCTGCCATAGTTGTCCTGCTTGTGACAGGACTCTCGTTCGTGGTCATCCATGCTGTCCGGGCAAATACTCGCTACAACATCATAGATTCCACCCTGGACAAAACAAAATAATATGTATACGTAACTTAATAGCAACTTGAATTAGAGCAATATACTGTACCACTAAAATAATTGGTAGTGATATCCAATAAAATATCAAAAAACAACTGGAGTCCCTGGAGTGTATTGGGCAAGTTAGTTTTGCATCGCCGTGTGCCGTGGACGGGGTTTGCACCTTTTAGACAATTTTATTAAATCTCTACCCACTCAGAGCGCCAGGCATTGCAAAACGAACTCGCCCATATATTGAGGATTGTAAAATATTTAAAAGGCTTCTTGTTGGTTTCAGTTAGCACTTACTGACATCATATTGCAGTAGACCCTCGGATGACCTCTGGCTACCAATTGAACTGAGATGGCTGTTAATAGCTGTTAAATGGAATGGACTGGGGGAGCACATAATCTCCATGAGTGGCAAGTGGGTATTGAGGGAGTGAGGGCTCAGCATCATGTGGTGGAGGGTAGAATCTGTAGTTGGTACAGTGATGGTCCATCCTGCTGGATGCAGCTTCTCTGCTGTACCCTGACCACTCCAACTGAACCATGGGGAATCACTCCTGGCACACTGTCTGTGTGATCTCCTGAATCAATGTTGACTTCCCATGTTCTTAGGTGGCACCCATTGTTCTCAGAGGAATAGACAACTGAGGTTTCAGAAACATTCTGATAGTCCTGAGTTGTGTGGTTTTGCTCTTTAAGGCAACTCATTCTATCTAAGCAAGGCTCCTCACTGATAGAAACACAAACCAGTGACAGTGTTGTTAGCCTGGGTAGTAAAACACAGGCTCAGAGAACAGATATACAGAATCAGTCAGTTCAGCATTCAATCATCTAAAATAGCTACCTAGCTAGCTAATACATCTGACATACAACTTGTATTTTTTTTATTTTAGCAAAGATAGCTAGCTAGCTGCCTAGTTTGCAAGCACTAACGTTATTCATATAAATATTGTGAGGGATTTATCTTGGCCTCTCTTCTTCCAATAGCTATCTGGATAGTTCACAACAAATAACAATAACCAGGTGTTTCAAAGCTGAACAATGTCGCTCCCTCTACTAATAACTTTACCTGACAGTCAGTTGTGGTTGTGGAAGAAGCTTTTATTTTATTTTAGCAAAGATAGCTAGCTAGCTACCTAGTTTGCAAGCCCTAACGTTATTCATATGGATTTATCTCGGTCTCTCTTCTCTCTTCTTCCGATAGCTCTCTGGATAGTTCACAACAAATAACAATAACCAGGTGTTTCAAAACAGTGTCGCTCCCTCTACCAATAACTTTACCTTACAGTCAGTTTGGTTGTGGAAGAAGCTTTTCTAAGATGAAGTGACTGATGTCTGAAATCATGTAATATTCAGATTAGGGGGTTCCGTGTGGTGCAAGCCATGTCCCTTCATGTTGATGATGTGGTTGTTACTGACAAGGAGCACATGGCTGGGCTCTTTAATCACCACTTAATTAAGTCAGGATTCCTATTTGACTCAGCCATGCCTCCTTGCCCGTCCAACATTTCCTCATCTCCCACCCCTTCTAATGCGACTAGCCCCGATGCTCCTTAAACTTGACCCCAAAAAAACATCTGGGTCAGATGGTTTAGACCCTTTCTTCTTTAAGGTTGCTGCCCCTATCATCGCCAAGCCTATCTCTCCTCTCTGGGGAGGTTCCCATTGCTTTGAAGGCAGCCACGGTGCATCCTTTATTTAAATATATTGTTGTCTCTACCTTCTTGCCCTTTGTGCTGTTGTCTGTGCCCAATAATGTTTGTACCATGTTTTGTGCTGCTACCATGTTGTGTTGTTGCCATGTTGTGTTGCTACCATGCTGTGTTGTCATGTGTTGCTGCCATGCTATGTTGTTGTCTTAGGTCTCTCTTTATGTAGTGTTGTGGTGTCTCTCTTATCTTGATGTGTGTTTTGTCCTATATTAAAATAATTTTATTTATTATTACTTTTTTATCCCAGTCACTGCATGAGGCCTTTTGCCTTTTGGTAGGCCTTCATTGTAAATAAGAATATGTTCTTAACTGACTTGCCTAGTTAAATAAAAGTTAAATTAAAAAAAGCCTCATCCATTCTTTCAAAATAGGCTACGTTTGATTTGGGTCGCCTGATGTGCCAAGTGGTGTTTTGGATTTGCACTTTGGTACTATAGTGAATAGGCAGGAATGGAACTGATTTGAGAGGAAATCAAATGTATTACCTTTTATTGTGGAATAAACACAACCAGTCGTGATGTGTTCATCCACTCGCAACATATTTTCAGCCTCCAGACAGTGGTGAATGGAAAGAGACATCTGTTACACAAACAACAAAAAGTGTAATGACATTTGGCGATTGTCATTAGGCCAGTCTCTCTGTCAGCCACTGAGCCACTCATCTCTGCCTTGGCAAAATTTCAGTTTTCGTCGAACCACATCGCATTTTGGAGCGTATCCTACCATCCGTTTTCAACCCAATCGCTCATTTTTCCATACCTCTGACATGTAGTAATGATTAAAAAAAGTGCTGTAATAGCCTACAGTTTTCTTGACATTTTGTTTTAATTAATGTGATAGGATCATGTTTTACCTGTACGGTGTTCCCCCACTATTTATTTTGTCGGGACACCGTGCTTACTTTCAACCCTGGTTGTGTAAGAAGCTTTTCTAAGGAGAAGTGACTAACGTCTGAAAAAGTATTAAAGATTAGGGGGTTGAGCGCGGCGCGAGTCACACCCATTCTTTCCAATGTGCACGTTTGATTTGGGTCGCCTGATGTGGTGTTTTGGATTTGCACTTTGTACTAGTAGTGAATAGGGAGGATGGAACTGATTTGATAAGGATTTTTTTGTTGTTGATATGCAAGTATGGTTTTCTAATTCTGTGGGTTTTGCCAAAGACACACATCCTCTTTGTTTTTACACAATACTATATATTTGTTATCATTTAATATTTTGCTATTCAACAAAATAATAGTATATATTCTTACAATGTAAATAGCACCTTTTTTTTTCTGTACAAATTGTCTTGACAGACACACACAAAAAAACATTCACAGACACTAAATCAAGCGCACCTCCCCTCATTGGTCCAGTCGAGTAGTTATGAAACTAAAACCACGCCTTCAGATTGTATAGCTACAAAAGTTCTGTCCGGAAACTGAGACCGATCATACTTCTTCATTAAACAAAGTAAACTAGTAACAGACATCTTCTAACTATGACTCTAAATTTCACAAAATGTCAATCTGTAGTAATTACTGGGGCAAGCAGAGGTCTCGGTCTACAAATGGTGAAAGACCTGGCGAGAAGCACCGAGAGACCCACAATAATAATAGCGACTGCTCGCAATCCATCCGCAGCACAGGTAGGAGAACATCATGTTCTACTTGTTTTATACATTTCCACATAATGGAAATACACGTGTGAGGATTCGGCTTTACTGTATACCTAGGGATACATAATAAAAGTTGATCTTCATTTCAGGATCTTCAAAATATTGCCACGTCCTGCAAAGGTGTTCATATTGTACCACTTGGTGAGTTGCATAGCCTACATCATTTTTATAACTTGGACACATAAACTAGGGGTGGTGTGATGCTGATGCATGCCACATTTTGTTGTGTAATCGGTATATGATCCCATGTGACCCATATGCCTTGCTTGCTATTCCACCAGATAGTGCAAGAAACACTGTATTGGTTTTGGCCCTGTGTTCCTCTCTGGCTTTTCTCCCTTCAAACTTTTGGACTAACTAAAACTTTGATTACACGCTCAATTAATTATATGTTTGTAGTACTCAACAGAACATGATGAAATGCCAAACTGAATTAAACCAATAATGTAAAAGTAAATTAAACCAATACTGGAAAAGAAAACCAAGGAACAAAACAAAAACTAAATTATGTTTGTTTCCTGTGAAGAACTTCCTTTTTGAATGGTAATGCATCTATGATCTCTTTCGTATCAGATGTTGTCAGCCAGTCAAGTATAGACTCAGCTTTCCAAGAGGTGTCATCCATACTGGGAAGCGATGGCCTAAATTGCCTCATAAACAACGCAGCCATCAATCTATCCACTGATCTGAAGACAGTGACACCTGACGCCATGATGAAGACTTTTGAGAGTAATACTGTTGCCCCTCTTTTTGTCACCAAGGTAAATCAATTTGTTGCACCTCTAGAAGAGCATGTATGAGAAACATCTCCATTTTGTTGTAGCACAGAGGATATTTTTAAACATGCCCAAATCACACACATTTATGAAAGGTTCCCTACTTCATAAGAAACCTGTATTCTCGCAACTATCTCTAGATCACATAATGTTGTTGTTTCTTGTAGGCATTTCTGCCATTGCTACAGGCAGCTGCTGCACGGAGCACTGGAATGGGGATCCATAGAGCAGCTGTGATCAACATCTCTTCCATACTGGGCTCCATTAAGGCCAACTGGGAGGCCGGAGCAGCCTTCAAAAGCTATGCCTACAGGACCTCAAAGGTGAACAGCAACCATAATGAGCCATTTCAACAAAGCCCATATAAACATTACAGACCATCTCTGGTTGCGATATTGAGCATAGGATGTTTGGGTGTGACGATAGTTAATCTGACTGTTCTTATGTGTACATATTCATTACATGTCATGTCCATCTCATTTTGTTTCCATATGCAGGCTGCCTTGAACATGGTGACAAGGTGTCTGGCCACTGACCTGGAATCTGAAGGGATTCTGTGCATGGCTCTTCACCCTGGCTGGGTGCGCACTGACATGGGTGGCCCACATGTGAGTGTCCAATACTCTCGGTTGAGGCGTTTTATGGTTGTGTCCTTAGAATACATTAAAATACATTGCTGTGTATCAAAATGAGTTGACAGTTGATATGCTGCATTTCCTGTCTCTTATGGATCAGGCGGATTTGAGTATGGAGGAGAGCATATCATCTTTGCTGTCTGTTATCACTGATCTGACAGAAAATAATCATGGGGGATTCTTGGACTACTCTGGAAACAAGCTACCATGGTGAAGCTCAACTTGGAGACAGTAACTTGTAGAATGGGTTATGTGCAGTTGTGCTGCTGGTGCTGTCGACAGTTCACTGGGACAAAACACTGAGCAGAGATCACAGAATACAACGACCAACTGCGACATCATGCTATTAGGTTGCTCAGCAATCTCTGATTCCTTTGTATCTAGTTGGTGTGAGAGAGAAGCTGGAGATTTGACATTTTAAATTGGAGACTTTGTTTCAGCTGAGTGGTTTGGATTGTTGTTACACTTTCTAAGGTAATATCATTGCATACAAAATATACACTGTATAATACATATATAGGAACAACAATGTTTTGCCATTCAAAAGTTTTATTCAATCAATTTCTTTCAAATTATAATAAGAACGTGATTAATCTGTATAGTATATTGTTGTTATGATGACACCAGTATCCAGTATAATGGGAAATGTACAGATACTGTTGTTTGTAGGCGGGTGAGGTGTAGAGAAGAGATCACTAATTGTTGAAGTCGAACTAGGGCTGACCCATCTCTTCTGATGTGAGAGAGGAAGGTATGGTATCCAGAGCCCCGATTTCTGCAAGGTAGATGACAAAACATTTGAGTGAGCACAGTCAGATGGTTATAACTGATTAGGACTATGCTAGTATTTGTTCTGTTACAATGTTTTAGCTACATATAGCCAGGAATCTGACTATAAATGTAATCTGTAAATAAATATTAAATACAATCATTATCAGACCAAATGAAAAACTTGATTATTTTACTATTTTTGGAACACGTCAAAACGCCTGATTTTTATTCATGAAAAAAATAGAAATCAAGAGAATGCAGTCAGTGTTTTTGCTGTAATTAATTGTTGTAATAAACATGAATAACAGACACCATGAACTTACCTTTAAGTTTCAGGTATGATAAGAAGTCAATGACAGTATGTATTACATCCTTATCTGCTATTCTCAAAGCACCTGCAAAATAAGAAGAGATCCTCATGAGGTGTAGAGACTACACTGAGTAAAACAGACTTACTGTACAGTACATCATCTACTCTAAACATATTTTATTTACCCTCTCAGAGGCCAATAAACTGTAGGCTATAAGAGATTTTACAAGGCTTTAGCTTCTCACCTGATTTGAAGTCATCGTCCAGGGGCATGTCTCTCTTTCCAGCAAGGCCATGCTTGTCACTGAGGGTGCGGTGACCGTCAATGCCGTCTGAACAACAAAACAAAAACATAGTTTGCACAGCTGATTTTTACCCATTTCCTAGATGACATCCCCTTCATTGCACACTACGCACAAACACTGCAACCCTGCCTAAAGCTCACATGACGGCATAAGGCACCCGTGTAATTTATGATGGTGTGTTTTTCCTTCTATTTGTCAAGAGTCTGAAAAGCAACCTGCAGGGCTTGTGTCATGGAATTGCTTGAAAACATATATTCACCAATGAAATACGTGAAAGAAAGGCACATATTCATTGATGGAAACAGAACCTGAAATTTAAAAAATATATATATTAAGGAAGGGTCCCAAAGCATGCAAAGAAGAAGGGTAAAATAGTAATTTAATTCGTTGTCCATCTCAGAGAGCACATTGCGTATGTATGTATATATATATATATAGTAAGAGGGGCAGGAAAGACAATGGTTGAAATTACAGTATACCTCACCCCATCAACAACTTTAATAGAGGTTTGAGTCAAGAGGGCTAGTAATAGTGCACTGAATAATCATGTCAGAGCACTAATTATCTGAAGTATAATCCTTGAATTTTGACATTAACCCTTAAGCCCTTGATGCGTTTACCCACGGTCATCACCCATCAAGTATAGTTATAGAAATGATCAACTTTGTTCTAAAAGTGCCTCTGAGATTAAAATACCCTGTATGATGGTTTAATAATTCCTAAACAGGTAGAAAAACAAACATAAAGTGGCCATGGCTGTGATAAACACTTGGTTGTTGCATAAAGAGTTAAGCAAATAATAAACATAGAGAGCAAGACGTCACAGAGCAATTCCTCTGCTGACTTCAATGTCCTGCAGGAGCTATCTTACATTGATTTAGTAGTTCTTCTCTTACGCTTGGATTATCCTTTATCTGTATTAGGTGATCAATATGACCTGAAACACAGTGATGATGGCATTTTACCTCAACTTACAACACGGACCTGTGTTATGGGATACATCCTCATTCTGTGTTGACAAGAATCCATGAACCTTGCGAATAAATGTGTTCCTGTGCAAATATGCTTTTCAAAATATAGTCATTTAAAAGGATATAACAAATGAAAAGTCCAATAACTACACAGTTTGTTTGTTGGAATACATCATGCCACATTACACAGCCAGGTGAAATGTGAAAAAGTATAACGGGGAAACAAATATGAGAAGAGCATGATAATGGAGACAGCGCAGGTGTGTAAGTTATAGTTAAGTTAAAACTACTTATGATAGTGGAGTTTTGACAGTTGTGTGAAAGAGTACATGTATTTAATACATAACAGTCACTTACGGGGACCCAAAAGGTAGCCAGCACTGTTTAGTGTCCACCCTCGCTTCTCTTTAGCCTGCTAGGAGACAAACACACACTCAAAACAGATTCATTATACACACTCATCGGTTTTCTCAACAATTTATCTAATTTTCTGAATGCCAATTGCTTGACCTGACTATAATGCAAGAACTCGGTTATATCAATGCTTGTTATGGTGTTTTGTCTAGGTAATAGGGAAAAAAGTTCAAGTATTGTTGCTTGCAATAGCCTACTTGTAGTTAAAACAACGAGAAAATAACAGCATTTAAAACAACATTTTGCCAAATACAATAAAATGTTGACCTACCGCAATCACTAATCCAATTGTTTCTGACAGAGCTGCACACAAAATTAGTGATATGCACACTACTCCAAAATACTTCTGCATCTAAGGCAAGATATTTAAAAAGTGTTAGTTGTAAAAAAAAAAACTCAATTTTAGAAGTTAAAAGTCGCAAAACAAAGATTTCCAAAGAAGTCTTAAATCTGCTTACCTTTAAAGTTTTGTTCAACAGTACAAGAGATAGAAGATAATTTAAAAATGTATAAGTCTTTCTTCAAAATAGGTATGCTTATAGAGTAAGCAAAAATACAATGCAATTTTACAGCAAATACTTTCTGAAGAGATCTTCAATGTCCCTGTAGTGCTTCTCGTTTAGGATAGAAGGATTTTGGTGGCATTTTATAATACCCCCCCCCCCTTAACTGCTCCTCAAATTCAGACGTCACAACTACCTTCCCCCTCCTGTAGTGGTCATGTCACGATCAAATTACAATAACATCATCATGTTCTTTTTGAAAACTTATGAGACATTGAGTTGGACAATAGTTCTGAAAGTCAGATACATTTTCTCACTAATAGAATCTCACGTGATGTACATTTTATTATGTATGTAAAAACGAACACTGCTATAAGATCAGTAAATCTAAAATATTTATTTTAGAGCCTCTATGACTGGTTAAAATTGTTAAAATGTGAAAATATAAAACCATTACATACAAACAAAGCCTAGAGATAATTGAAAAATTAGAAAGACAAGGGGATAGATAGAATACTTCCATAGGTTTGTGGGCAGGTCAATTTTAATTGTCAGAAAAGCTGGAATTCCAGAATGGAAGGGTGATATCTATTTTGTAACAATACATTGGAACTTTTCTGTAGCTTTTATCAAGAAACAGCCTTAAAATATTACTAAAAGGAGATAGAATAACAGTTTTCATATATGGTGATAGGTTACATGTACATGAGATCAATAAGAGGAGAAAAACAACTCACTCACAGAGCTTTAAATTAAGTTATTTATTGAATTAACAGATCAGAAATAACAAGAGCCTGAATTATATGAAAATGTCATCCTAAATCCAAAATGGGATTCCAACAGCGTGTAACAAAGGCAGGAACCTTTGGGCTCTTTGTAAAATGGTTTGTCCTTCTTTAGCGGTTCGGTCTGATTCAGCAAGGGGCACTGGCAGATCTAAAAGTTATTGTGTCCGTTTGTCACTGGTCTGTGTGGAAAATCCTCCATTGTAACAAGCATCACACATTGAGCAATGTTCTGATCCATTATGACATGGGAAAGGAACTCCAGCCGAAGAACTCAATGCTGAAGATCTATGGCTGCCTTCTTTCATATTGATGACATTAATGTTGATCACACCACCACACAATCCATTTGTTGAAGTTTTCTGCAGGGAGAGGTTGCTGAAGAGATAATGTTTATTTTTTAATGAACACTCCTGACTCAACGTCTTTATACGGTCTACAAACATCCTATACCAACCATACAGGACAGATCTTAGGACACATTGATTGTGAATAAAGAGTAGATGCATTACAACCACTATTCCAGTTAAGTCCAGGCCTACCTGCATTCTATTTATTGTCCTTGTCTTGTATTTAATCGCATAGGCCTATCACAGCATGGTCGGCTTAGCTCTTGGATGCCAGGTAGGGCTCTTGCACAGGTGGGGCTCTTGTCTGGAAGGAACAGGGCTATAATTCCATCCTTGGTAATGGCAATGCATCCACATCTGCCGTCACTGTTTAGCTGGACTCAGCATGGCTGTGATATAGCGAAAGGTGCAACTTCCGATGCAGGTAATGGGCTTTGTTGCTCAGAATCAGAGGTCTTTCTTCGTAGTTCACAATGCATTATTTTAGCAAACAATCCCGTTGGCAACATTGTTTCAACCAATGCAAGTTGACCATCGAAGCCTGACAGTTTTCTTCTCACCTCCTGCAAAATGAAATATCATAGATTAAGTTAAGCAAAGTAATTTATTTATAAAGTAAAGTAGGCCCAAAATACATTATATGCATACATTTACACGAACCCTTATAAAAAATGTTGAGACCCCATGTCCTCTGCGTCTGCAATGATCAGACATTTTTCCAAAGTTGGCAAGCGCTGAATTAATTGCACAAATTCTGAACGTGGAAGACTGCTTATTATAGATTATAGCAGTGGCTAAAATGACGTTTTCCGATGTAAACAGACAGCGCACTAATCTCGCTTGCTGGAGACAGCGGCTGTGAGAGAAGTCGCGCAGCGCACTAGCTGTTCATCCAGTAAGCAAGGGTCATCAATCATTATATGATGACGTCACGTGAGTCGTCGTTCTTGTTCGTTCGCTGTTTACCACAGCCTAGTCTCAGACAGAACAATGAAAACATATTTGGCCTAGCTGTCAACGACTAACTTTGAGCAACGTCAGTGAATGAATGGAAACGTTTGTACTCTTCTCTCAGAAATGAGGATAAACTTGTGAAAAAAGTGTTTGAGTTGCCAACAATAATTCCATGAGGTAAATTTCATTGAGTAGTGTTTTTAGCTAGCTAGCCCACAGAAGTTGATCGAGGGTGAGATTCCCTAAAAACACGTCACTTTGATACAGCTATGACCGGAAGTGACTTTTTCATAGCAGATTAGGAGAAATAACGTAGCAGTTTAGGATAATTAGGTGAAGGTTAGGAGTTGTAGCTATCTAAAAGCACAGAAAGCTAGCTATAGTGATCATAATAGTTGGTAAAAGTATTTTCCTAGGCTGTTGTTAGCTGCAGTGGTTAGTTGCGGTCTAACCACCAGATATCCAAAGAAAGCCTAATTTATTTTGATTTAAGTTTGCCACGCTGAAAATGCCCGCCCGTTGTCAATAACCCTTTCCCTCTCTCTCCCTACCAGCCTATCTACATGCGAAAATGGCTTTCCTACACAACGAATCCCATTCAGGAATCAGAAATATGATGGCTGAGACGATGACACCATCCACATGCACTGGGGCCTTTTCAGTCAACAGAATCAACCAGGGATCATACTCACTGTGTTTGGAGTATGTCTCTTTGGAGGTGAAGATAGAGCTAGCTAGCTAACGTTAGCTCTTTTTTCAAAATGTAATTTGACTGGTGTGGAAAAAACGATTGAACCAGTGTGTGCCAAGTGGGTAGTCACTAGTGCACAGCCCAGAACTAAAGATAATCGATCAATGTTAACCATATCAGTGCATACAGTTAAACCACAGATAGAACAATGAGCCAGATGTTTCACAGAATGTATAAATCCTTTCCACTCACCACCAAATATGGTGATGAGAGGAAGATCAGTGACCGGCAGTGGGAGAAGATGGAGCGAGATAGATTTTGTCCGACATTCTGCTCATTTTCTTATCGATTAAACATTTGATCTCAATACAGTTTTCTGTTCCCAAAACTACAATCTGTTACGAACAGAGTGGACTAAGATTTGCAATCTTTACCATTTGCCAAAGTTTTTAAAAATTGCATTGTTCAGAAGGAATGCATGGGTGAATTGAGTTATTGCACACGCGCACTTCACAGAGTAGGCACTCCCTAACAGAAATATGCAAATACATGCTAGAACACACCAACAGGATCTCGCTAGCTCATGCTTGACTCTGCCCACCTCCTTGCTTGTTCTGCCCACTATGATTAATTTGCTCCCATTGGAAATGACAGGCTGTGGTCTATCTTGGGTTAGGTATAAAAATCTTTGGTTATATTCTACCCCAACAATTACCTTTTTTTCTAGTTTCTACAGCTGTTGTTAGAAATTCAGAACACTCTTGCAGGCTCTGGGGCTGCCATGTACTGTTAGCCCTTTTTGGGATGTTACTGGGAACACTCAGTTTCCATTATTGAGGTATGGACCGATCAGATTTATCACATGAATATAACATTATCTAATATCGAAAAGTCTAAATGTACTGTTGAGCAAAGTTGTGTTTGATCATTTTCTCTGTTCTACCATAAGACCCCTATATGGTCCTTCCTCTATGAACTAGCTACAGATTCTTATGTTAAACATATGCTATATAATTATCAGAATGATGATACATTTGCTGATATGGATTATTGTTGTTCAGGTCAGTTATTACACAAAGGAGATCGCAAACATCAGCCCCAAACTGTTGATTCACAAGTTTAGGCCAGTGTTGATTTTCAGCTAGTGCCTTAAATATCGAATCACATGCCTTTTTGAAATCTCTCATAACGTGAGGCCTTTCCTGCACTTTCGTTATTATGAATGGATTGCTATAACATTTATATTTCTAAAAGAAACTAAGGCTAACCACACTAAAACAAGTCACTAAAAATGACTAAAGAAATGAAATAAATAGATGATTTAAACTTTGTGTTGTAACCAGTGGCGATTTTAGCATGTCAATCTTGGTGGGGCAAAATTGTGGGATGCATGCCATCAAAGCCACAACACTAAACAATACATTAATTAAACTATAACAGTGACAAACGGTTCCCACAAACTGTTAGGGCCTACATAAAGCAGTCCCAACAGCAGTCCCAACAGCAGTCCCAACATCTTACCACTGCTACACCTGGCTATCAGCGGAGCCTTGTCTGGCAGCGAAACAGTTAATTCAGCCTCATTTACTGCCTTTAAAAAAAACATTGCTGATATGGCTGACTTGCTTAAACAAATGTGGTTTCTACTGACAATTGAGATGTACAAACTATGGCATAAGGGGACGACAAGCGGATAAGAGGCAATACGTAATTTCGATTAAGACATTCATGAGCGAGCAAGGACGGACGTAGTCAATATAACTATTTGTTTAGCACTTTTGAAATGTACAGCGACAGAATTCAGAACATGGGCCATTCTTACAGTGTTCTCCCTGTACACCAAGTCAGAACCATAGGATAAATAAAGGGGGCATATAAGCAGACAATGAAAGCTCTTACAATATTCGATGATTACATTTCTAAAACAGGTTATAGGCTACATGTGCATTTCTAAAACAGGTTATAGGCCACCAAGTCAGAACAGTAGGCGAAATTAAGAAGGGAAAATATACCAAATTATTAGGGTGAGGCACATGGGCTACTAACAGCTTGCCACACAACATACACTTAGTATTACTTTCTTATCTCCCTGGCATATTACATCATTTATGCAGCAGCATACAATACATTTTTGGACTCACCTTGTTGTGCTGTGCTCACTTGAACAGGAAGGTGGCCGGGCGATCCTTTGTGGGCAATTTCGGTCATCAAGTCTGGCATTCTCTGGATTTATGGTGCTTTCAAGACAACTGGGAACTCTGGAAAAAAACAAGGTCGAATCATGATGACGTCAGTGATCTTCAGGTCGTAGCTCTAGAAAGAGGCCCGAGTTCCGGATTTACAATTCCGAGTTGGATGACCATTCAAAACGTATTTTTCCAGATGGAGCTAGTTTTTTCCCGAGTTCCCAGTTGTCTTGAACTAACCGAAGTCAGATTTCGCAGTTCCGAGTTAACAGTTGTTTTGAGCGCGGCACAAATCATGCTTCATTTAGAAAGTATGACATTGACATTATTTTTTATTTTATTTAGCAGACACTCTTATCCAGAGCGACTTACAGGAGCAATTAGGGTTAAGTGCCTTGCTCAAGGGCACATCGGCAGATTTTTCACTTAGTCGGCTCGGGGATTAGAACCAGCGACCTTTCGGTTACTGGCACAACGCTCTTAACCACTAAGCTACCTTCCGATCAGTCCAATCAAAGCTACAGTAGATATAACGTGATTTGACGTCATTTTATCTGTGGTCAATGACCTTGAACTTTCTTGGATGGGCACTTCTAATGTAACTCTATGGCAGCACCCAAGGGGCTTGAATTTTCTAGCTCTACCCTTAGACTTGGCGGTGACGTAGTGTCCCCATGAGTGACAGAACACTGAGCCAATCACGGCGCAACTAGAGAACATGCCCCACTGGTTATAACAGGTACTACTGCTGGCAATACCTGGATTTTTGCTCAGTACTTCTTTGATCGCATTGCTAGTTGTGAAAGTGTTTGCTTACAACTGGGAAGGCACAGAAGGTCTTGTTCACTTCACTGTATCACACTCAACACTATATTCATGATGCCATCATATTAACCCTGACCTCACGTAAAGTTGTGGGCCTGATTTCTCGTTCAGCCTGTTCAATGTAGAACATTTTCAAATATGTAAAATCAATGTGTTCGATAGGATATTACGTTAGAAGTTGTTTTTGTTTCTTTAATCACAGCCTGTACCTCTGTTTTCCCTCACTTAGTTGTAGCCTTGTCGATACACTCCTACAATTTGGTTAGGGTTTAGGATGACGCATAACAATATGATGAACTTTTAGCCCACAGGGAAGGAACTATTGACTTTGGTGAATGTAATAGGTTTAGCATGAAGTTGACAGATGAAACATTAAGAGTCCAGTATAAATGGTGTCTAAACTGGGAACTGGTGTTGGTTTTCTACCAGACAAGCTACTGGAATTCTGAACAGAGAAGCAGCCAGGACCCTGATTAATACAGCTGAGAACATGACAGACCACGAGGAAAAGTAGTGTTGCTCTCGCTGCACTCACTCAAAGATATAGGAACAACACTGTATTCTAAGTGCCCACTATTACATTCTAACTATATAATTAGAATAATCATTCTATTTCCATGATCGCAAGTCAAATCGCAATTGCAATATTTGGTTAAAAATAAGGCCTCGATTATTTTGCCCATATCGTGCAGTTCTACGTGGCAGTGTGGAAATTATCTCAAATGAAACAATCAGAATGGAGAAAGACCCTTTGAAAACACTTAGAATTCATGTGTTGCCACCCTAGGGTCATGCACAACTCATAAAGCAAATGTAGAACTTGTATTATTTAAAAACATTAAATACTATCAAATACCTTCATACCATCAGAAATGTGAAAAATTAAATGATATGATATTCTGGCCATATCACCCAGCCCTAGGACCACTTGGTTCAGATGGGTTCATGATGTGTTTATAATCGCAAATGTTGAGATAAGACAGCAACTGATTAGATGATTACATGTTCAACTTCAAACCCTTGAGTAATACCGGTCTTTGAATGAACTGATCTAGCTATACTGCTTATAATTCTTTGAAAAAATGAAGGACATTTGGTTAGAATGGGGGGCTATGATTGACAAGCATCTTCTGTTTTTTTAAAATAGTAATTGTGCTAGTGTGAAAATGGGGCACCAGTTGGAAGAATCTAAGCTCAGAAATTGCACCTTATTATGTAATTAGCTTAAGCACCCCTTAAATATTGAGTCTATTATTTTTCATGTCATAGTCGTAGAGGCCTATGGCTATGTTCAGTCATATAGAGAGAGAGTTGGGCCAGGTTTTAGAACCGCTGCCATGTTAGCGCCTTTATTCTCCAAATGTTGGTGATGTAACAATATTAGAGCGCCTCTGACAGTTCCCTATGAAATGACCCGCTGTAAACAAGCAAAACAGAGCAGCGAATTTAACCGAATATTTATTAGCATTCGGGATAATATGTTTCCAAGTCTGTACTGTGTTGTGGTGTCAACAAACTGCAAATCTGCTTTTACTGGACATCTTCATAGGTTTTGAAAATTATCAGAAATAAACAGCACAATGTGGATGCGTCAATTATCACTTAGCAACGGCTATGGAGGAGAAAGTGGTCCTTTGTAGCTCAGTTGGTAGAGCATGGCACATGTAATGCCAGGGTAGTGGGTTTGATTCCCGGGACCATCCATATGTAAAATCGATGCACGCATGACTGTAAGTTGCTTTGGAAAAAAGCCCTCAGAACTGCCTCAATCCATTGGGGTATGGACTCTACAAGGTGTCGAAAGCATTCCAAAGTCATGCTGGCCCATGCTTTCCACAGTTGTGCCATGTTAGCCTGATGTCTTTCGGGTGGTGGACCATTCTTGATATACACGGGAAAATGTTGAGCGTGAAAAACCCAGAAACATTGCAGTTCTTGACACAAACCGGTGCGCCTCGCACCTACTACCACTCTCTGGATGGCAGACATACACAATCCATGTCTCAATTGTTTCGAGGCTTAAACATCCTTCTTTAACCTGTCTCCTTCCCTTCATCTACACTGATTGAAGTGGTTTTAACAAGTGACATCAATAAGGGATCATAGCTCTTACCTGGATTCACCTGGTCAGTCTATGTCATGGAAATAGCAGGTGTTTTCAATGTTTTGTATACTCAGTGTATATGGCTCTGTAATAAGCCAAGTAATATAGCTATGTATGGTTTATTTTGAGATTTTCAGGTCTCTCCAGAGATGTTCGATCAGGTTCAAGTCTGGGCTCTGGTTGGGCCACTCAAGGACATTCAGAGACTTGTCCCGAAGCCACTCCTGCGTTGTCTTGGCTGTGTGCTTAGGGTCGTTGTCCTGTTTGAAGGTGAACCTTCACCCCAGTCTGAGGTCCTGAGACCTCTGGATCAGGTTTTCATTAAGGATCTCTCTGTACTTTGCTCTGTTCATATTTGCCTCGATCCTGACTAGTCTGCCAGTCCCTGCCGCTGAAAAACATCCCCACAGCATGATGCTGCCACCACCATGCTTCACCGTAGGGATGGTGCCTCCAGACGTGAATGCTTGGCATTCAGGCCAAATACTTCAATCTTGGTTTCATCAGACCAGAGAATCTTGTTTCTCATGGTCTGAGAGTCTTTAGGTGCCTTCTGGCAAACTCCAAGCGGGCTGTCATGTGCTTTTTACTGAGGAGTGGCTTCCGTCTGGCCACTCTACCATAAAAGCCTGATTGGTGGAGTGCTTTAGAGATGGTTGTCCTTCTGGAAGGTTCTTCCATCTCCACAGAGGCACTCTAGAGCTCTGTCAGAGTGACCATCAGGTTCTTGGTCACCTCCCTGACCAAGGTCCTTCTCCCCCGATTGCTCAGTTTGGCCAGGCATCTTTGGGGTTCCAAACTTCTTCCATTTAAGAATGTTGGAGGCCACTGTGTTCTTGGGGACCTTCAATGCTGCAGAAATGTTTTGGTACCCTTCCCCAGATCTGTGCCTCAACACAAATCTGTCTCGGAACTCTACGGACAATTCCTTCGACCTCATGGCTTGGTTTTTGCTCTGACATGCACTGTCAACTGTGGGACCTTATATAGACAGGTGTGTGCCTTTCCAAATCATGTCCAATCAATTGAA